TTGCCTTCGACACTATCTGGACTACTGCACTATCTGGACTTCGACACTATCTGGACTACTGCACTATCTGGACTTCGACACTATCTGGACTTGTGCACTATCGGGACTTCTGCACTGTCTGAACTACTGCACTATCTTGACTTCCGCACTATCTGGACTACTGCACTATCTGGACTTCTGCACTATGGGGACTTCGACACTATCTGGACTTCGACACTATCTGGGCTTCTGCACTATCTGGACTTCGACACTATCTAGACTTTTAAATTATCCGTGTTTCTGCACTATCTTCATAGCTAGCAATAATGTCACTGCAGGCCCTAAGCTGTAGCTCGTCTTGAGATTCGGTCCTTCAGCTCCTACAATGTATCCCTAGAATGCAGGGGCCATACTTTCAAAACTGGCTAAGTGAACGTAACTACTTACGCTCTATTTTTTTAACTATGATTGGTGGATTTTGCTTGAAAGGCCGTCAATGATTGGCTGATGAACTTACTATCTCTTAACTTTTTTTGAGAGTATAGGTCCAAGTCTCAAGTGTCGACGCGATTTACTTCAATTAAGTAACATTTCTCTCCGTGTTTGTCCTAGTACGAGCGACGATATATTTAAATTTATTATATTAAATGATTTTATATTTATATTTATCACGTTCAATAGGATCATTCATTGACATTGATTTTTGTTTACTATATTAAGCTGATTTTGAGTGCCTAGGCATTCAATACAACAGTTTCCGGCAACAAATTGGAGGTCAATATAACACTATGTTTTGTCTTGTACAAAACTGTAAGACATCTATTATGATTTATCAACTACTTATTTAGCAATATTTTGAGCTCATGCACAAACGCATTGTGGCCTTATTATGGCAATGACATTTCAATAATTTTTATCCGGTCAACTTGGCTATTTCAGGCATTAATTAAACATACGTAATGTATGTTTTCACTACAATCGTCTAATAAAGGTTGCGCATTTGGTGCACGATGCCCAGAGTGTTAACAGAATCACTTCCATATAGGAGGCGAAGTGTTCCAATACAGGCAGTCTGTTTTTATGTACAACCTTTCTTCCATTGCCTCCATTATAGTGATGCTGTGGCAATACAGCACTAATGTGCACAACCTCTATTTCATTGCTTTCATCTTTGTGACGCTGGATTGTGACAATATTGCAATATCGTCAAGTTTAGTTTTTATAAACTTATTAGGAATTTATTTCTCGTTTGCATCGGGCGCGTAAACCATCCTCCTTACAAACGCAAAGTTTATCTCAGCTCTGATTAGAATACGGAGATTTTTCGGTTTCAAGATATTCTTTGATAGCGAATCGATCGCCCTGAGATCGAGAGAGGCGTTTCCCTAAAAGTGAATCTCCTTTAACTTAAAACGCAAGAGAGTTTGTATAACGAGCCTCGTTAGTCCCGCCGCCGCCGCGGGGCAGCCGATGAGACACGCGTCCTCTGAACCTGGCGCCCCACTCGTGCAGGAGCAGGAGATGGAGCAGGAGCAGGAGCAGGAGATGGAGCAGGAGCAGGAGCAGACGTTCACTCTTAACGCATTGCCCTATATCGTTCATTCACTGATATTTTTAATTATGTAGAAAAGTATAGTACTTCAAATGATGCTATATTTTTAAGCTGGCTTATATGACATTGAGCATAATTGTTCAGACAAATGTGCGAGACTAATGATCTTGGTGATCGACAAATTAGACGTTCATTTCACTTGGAAATAAATGCATTTCAAATGCATACCTGGCCTACTCATGCGACGTATATCGCACGCTCACATGCACGCATTAATTAAGCAGGCATGTGAACGTAGAATTCTCAATGCAGGCTGGTATCGAAGTGGTGCGTTAAAAACCTCAATTATGCAATTTATCATTAGCTTGATAAATAAAGGATTCTGAAATAAATATAATGAGTTGTTCCATAGAATTATCGGTCAATAAGGGTATAAAAAGTCATTCATACGTATCATTAAATGATATATATTACGAGTTATCTCTCCGTACATAGGTAGACATTTATGCTCTTAAATCTTTGGTATAGGCAGACGGTATACAGACACAATTATAGGATATAACACAAGCTTAGCATTACATCCATCATGAGAAGAGAAGATAGACTCATCGCTGTTGTCTCTTACATATTTTACTAACTTGATAAATGAAGGATTCTGAAATATATATAATAAGTTTTTCCATATAATTATCTGTCAATAAGGATATAAAAAGTCATTCATATCATTAAATGATATATATTACGAGTTATCTCTCCGTACGTAGGTAGACATTTATGCTCTTAAATCTTTGGTATAGGCAGACGGTATACAGACACAATTATAGGATATAACACAAGCTTAGCATAAACATGATATGCTGCGCATTGACATATGTATAGTTTGGGATGACAAGTTGGGTGCCACATCATTGGGTGCAACACAGCATCTATCATCAACATATAATAGTTCCCCAGCCATCATCTCAGATCACGAATCCAACTCAAAAATATCTTGCAGGTTTCGATCAATGGAAAACGTCCTTTTATCTCATTTTTGAGGTTCGTTGTACAATATAGACAATAATAATTTATAGTTAAATCAAGTGCTAATAGCTTTTGAAGTTTTATCGTAGCCGAGGCGAGCGAATGCTGCGATACGAGAATCATCCTGGTAAATAGCGCAAGATAAATCAGCATCTCATTTATCATCCGTGTGAAAGTGACTATAGAAATTAGCAAAATAGATCATCCGTATTAATTCTGCACTAAAGATTAACCGAAAGTGAATGCTGCACAACAGATCAGCGCCTATACTTTCAAAAAAAGTTAAGAGATCGTAAGTTCATCAGTCAATCATTGACGGCCTTTCAAGCAAAATCCACCAATCATAGACAAGAAAATAGAGCGTAAGTACTTAAGTTCACTTAGCGAGTTTTGAAAGTATGGCCCCAGTACAATAGATCACCCAAGCGTTTTTCGCCTTCTAGTCGCTGCTCGTCGCGAGCCGCACTCTGAACAAAGAGCCCTTGGCTCTGAGACAGAAATTAGTTCATAGAAATATTATATAAATCCATCCATACAAAACCTTTAGCGTCTGGCTGTACAGATCGGTCGCCTTTCATGAGGCCGATTTTTGTTTATATTTGAAGCTCATTCGTCCAATTGGACATATATTGGCTTTAAAAACATATACTGCGCCATGCCCAGGTATATAACACTTGTCAGGATCTCGACTTCAATGCTTTATTAACTTAGCGATGTGGCATATGGATGCTATGTAGTATTTTGCCCTCGCAAGATAATTCATAACTTTATAGTTCACAAACACTGTTAACTGTTAACTGTTAAGTGTCAACTGTTAAGTGTTTACTGTTGAGTGTTAAGAGTTAACTGTTAACTGTTAACATATTATCCAAGTGGTTGTTGTAGGGTTATCTGATTATTATATCTGGTTGTTATAGGGTAAGGATATGAACTGAAATTCAGGTGACAAGCGCATTTAGTATTTTTGCAAGGTTCTCGTTAAATGATAGCTTTAAAAAATTAATAGTGCATGGTTATTTTGAAGAAAAATTTCAAAGATAAAAGCGTTTCGCGTCATGACCAAACCACGCACGGCTGCGGCAAAAAAGTCTTCACTCAAACTAGCGCCTTGAAATCACTTTAAGTGCACTCGAGGCTGCAAACTCGTAAGAAAAATTAGGTATAATAATTTTATCGTTCACTAACCGCTAGAATTTTCAATCGAATTATTCGGCTGGTTATCTATCGCTCGCAATTCATTACTGGTAAACATAGCCAATTGAGCTCCGGTAATTACGCTGCCCTGACAATTCAATTGAGTTGTTTGTATGGACGTAAATTGGACATGGACATCCATGTCCAATTTACGCATGAACATGGATGTCCATGTCCATCTCATGTTCATGCGCATGGAGCGCATATGTAAGAGAAAATGCCTAGTTCAGTTATGAATTATTTAGTATTTTTGTGAGTATTTGGTTTCATAAGCAGGCATACCATTCAAGCACATTGCATATAAATTATATAAATTACATATTATGTGCACGCCTTATCTATACATTAATTTAAATGTAGGTACACGAGCAATTAGATTTTCTTGGGGTACCGACTGAACGACAAATATACATACGAGTTCCGCTATGACAATACATTATATTTATATATAATACAGTGTGTGTAGAAGGGTACAAAATGTACAGAAAAAAGCAGTGACGCACGTTTTTCTCCATGCGGGTGACTTTATATACAATTTTGTTTACTTACGTTCATACGATAATAATAATTAATGACCGATAAGCACTTGAACTTATTCATTTAGGGATGTATTCTGCCCGTTACTTTAATTCGCCACCACCGAGAGGTATTTCTGAGCCTATAATACTTCGTTATAAACTTATAATACATCCATCATGAGAAGAGAAGATAGANCATGTTGGGAGTTTTCCTTCCGTACGTAGGTTACGAATGTTGCAGCGTTACGTGCTTCGAAAGAATCGACATGGCCGAGAATGACGGGATATACAGGAGAGGACAGTTAAGGCAATTATTCAACTTGTAAATCAAATTTAATATTCAAGGTATTGGTGAGTTTTTGAGCGTCTTTGAAGTGGTGAAAGTAGTTTTGGTTTGAAGGGACAGTCAATGAATATGATCGTCCTGTAGCTTATGGTCAATTATAACTTAAAAAATAAAAGTTTTTCCTTCAAATAACGTATTGATGTTGATACGATGAATATACATATATTATCAGTGCTTAGTTGCTCATATTCGATATTTGTATGCTAGAGAGGTTATTGTTGCGGACTGATGCATGAAAACTAAAAAAAAAAAATTATGCTGCACCATATCAGCTTTCATAGTGTCGGTTGCAACCCGCGACTGAAAAATTGAAATAAATTAATTAAATTAATATATTAAATTTGACGCTCGCTGCACATCATGAAATTCAGCTGATACAGCACGGCATGAGCAGCACTGACAACGCAATGCACCATATTATATAAAATATTGGCTCCATACATCTTGTTTCACTTTTTATTTCTGGCGTATTATTAAAGGAAATAACGTAACTATTACGGTTGAGACGAGGACATATCACTGGCTGCACATGTCTGAGAAGGACATGGTGGAGGACGCCTCGTCTCCCGAAGACATGGAGTAGCCCGAGATGTCGGTCAGCGGGCCACCGAGGCTCTCGACGGACCGAAGCTCCCCAAGAAGCGAGGAAGGATCCTTCAACTTATCTGAAACGTGCCGGTCGTGCTCCTGTTTCAAAATGTTTCTCCTCCATTTTGCTCGGGCGTTCTGGAACCAAACCTGTAATTAAATGAATTTGGGTCGTTGGAAGCCAAACTTGGACAGTGTTACAGATCGTGAAACTTAAAAGAGTTTCAATCATTTTCTAGAATATTTAATGTTATTGCTCAATGAGCTCTGACAGCAGCTCTACCAAAAATGAAAAAAATGAAATCAAATTAGTTTTACTCGATCGTAACAGGTACTTGGTTAGTTTATTCATTGTAAAGGTGGTTGTTAATCTGATATGAAGCTCGTCTTGAAGCCAAAAGAAACATTAAAGAAGTCAGTATTTCTCACCTGCAAAACTCTCTTGGAAAGACCGGTTTTTTGAGCGAGTTGTTTGAGATCTTTCGCGTCCGGGTTCTGGTTGAGGGAAAAATAGGACTTCATGGTTCTGATTTGGTGGTGTTTGAAGGAAGTTCTCATTCTTTTGGTTCTATTATGGCCCGGGGGACCCTGGTTCTGGTGATCGTAACGGAATGAGTCCAAAGTCAGTTCGCCGGGCGGCCCGATCAGTTCTGGAGCAGAAAAAGAAAGAAGAAGTTATCAGTTTCAGCGAGCATTTTACGCCAAAAATTAAGAGTTAGAAAAAATCTGGAAATTTTACTTCAGTTACTAAGAAACTAAGTAAGATTATAAAAAAATAAGAATCCAGCTCAATTGGCGCCTTAGGATAGACTCAGCTATAGCGACCAGTATTCGACGGCTTCCCGGTATTTAAAAATCTGAAATATGAAAGTGAAGTGTCGCTTGAGATAAAAGGATTTATATCAGTTAATGGCAAATTACAACGAATTGCACGTAAATCATATAATATTTTTTGTAGTTTCTCTTATTTTAGTATAATGTAATTTATATAAGTTTTTGAAATATATACATAAACTTAAAAAATGATACGTCCTGTTTTCATTTTTTTAATCGTTCCTTCACCATTGAAAATTAACTGAGTTGCAAATTGAAGAATAATTTTCAATTATCATTTACTGGACGAGACGAAGACGCGGCGGCAGCTAATTGAGGCAATCTTAATTATTTTTATTCGATATTTCAAGCTCAAAAACATGGAAGCTTTGAATTAATTGCGCTTGTTTTTGTACGTTGAGCGATGCGCACACGCATATTAGAGTCCAGCGGACACGTTCGCATCTCATAGGATTGGTTTCAATAATAATATAAATATACTTTTTTTCAAAGATGCTTTAATTAGTGTAGTTAAAAATGTAGTGTCCATGGTAGGATCTCATGCATCTCATAGGATTGGTTTCAAGCTGCGTCTTCTGATCGTGTTTTGTTCTGACCAATGAGGGAGTTTTTCCCTCGCAGCAATCGAGGGTTGAACCAATCGCGCGTCGCTGTTTTTGATGGCTCTCGCCAAATGAAAGGAATCAATAACTCACAACCAATAGAGATGGAGCACAGCCGTGACGTCTTTATATTAAAGCTCAGCGCCACATTAATAAATCTTGTCATATCGTTCCTAGAAACACTGCGATAAACTCGTCATTATTTGTTAAGACTCGACAGCTTCCTACTGCTGATTCGCTTCATTAAAACTTCATAGGACAAGGCAATTGAAAATTTCGATGCCATTATTTATTGCCATGCATAGCATAATTTTTCAAAAGCATCAACTTATTTAAAATTTCTTTTATGAATTTGAACGAACGATCAGATTCGACGCTAGATAGTTTGTCTCCAATGTAAATAATGTACGTATATAAAGGAATGATTTACGAATATTGGTAAATTTCCGTCCGCAAAAAATTAATCAGAACGGAATTTAAAACTTTGCACCTGTAACTGATTTTTCCGTAAATGATTTATAATTTATTGCAAATTTTGTTTAATTAATTATTATTATTCATTCGTAATTTTTTTTACTAATATTTTGGAAATTACTATATATTATCATTGATTCAGAAATATTATTAACGGTTAAATGAATACTAGTGAAAATTATTTACTGATATTAAATGAATACTAGATAAAATAATTTATTTATATTAATTATTTATTGATATTATCAATAAATAAAATTGTGTATTGATATTGATTGATATATTAACAATATTAACCATGATGAATAGTAATAAAGTTATACAAGAAACCCAATGCGCAAAATATATAATTGTAAAAGTGCAAACGGCCTGCATGCACAACAATTGTCAGGCGCTTATAATTATAACGGCGGGTCGCCAAAGTAACCATGGACCACACAGAGACCACTAAATTACTGCTAAGGTTTGGCATGATAATCCATGTGCATTTAACTTCTAATTAAATTCATGAACTTGTTCATACGCAAGCCTGCAACACGAAGACTCGTAAAGAACCAGTTACACGCAGACTCGTAACGAACCAGTTACACGCAGACTCGCAACAAACCGGTTACACGCAGACTCGCAACAAACCAGTTACACGCAGACTCGCAACAAACCAGTTACACGCAGACTCGCAACAAACCAGTTACACGCACACTCGTAACGAACCAGTTACACACAGACTCGCAACAAACCAGTTACAAAGGAACTCAATGTATGTAGTGTAATATTGAATCTTACTTAAATTATCCACAAAATAGTTCGGAAAAAACTTAGTGTATACGAAGAAGAAGAGCGCATATTTATATGCGCAAAATATGCATACGAACACCGAAGGATTAATAACGATTGTCGGACAAAAGTACTCTTCAAAAAACGATTAAAACGAAAAAGATGTCGGCGAAGCCAACATGATTAAACGGAGATTTTGTCGAAGTGTTCATGTTTCTCTCGTAATTCATGTTCACGGGGACGAGTTTTAATGGAGGAAGGGGCGACGAAAGAAAGGGTTACACGCACTTTATGTACGGGAGACATTTGTTCAAGTCATTCTCTGTAATGGAGCGGGAGCTTGGACACAAATATGATTCACTCAAACCAATGATAACTTCCCCCAAACGACTTTTATACGCTGCCTTTTTGAAGATACGGTCGGCCGGTTAAATGGCAAAAAATCCGACAAAAGTCTTGTGGAGATTAATAGTTGATGCGGTCGCTTTATAGTCAACGCGCAGCCTTGCGTCAGGCTATGAACGGGTCACCAAGACTTTAATTTTTCCCAGCTTCATTCCCTTGACGATTATTGTATTCGAACAGAAATACTGCATATCTTTTAGTACCTATTTTTGGTTTGAATAATATTAAATTTCTCAAGAATTTACGTGTCAAATAATTATGTCCGATCATGATTGATCATCAATTATATCGCAATCATCAAGATTGCGTCTAACACGTTAAACAACAAGTCGAAGGGTAATCAAAATTTACTCGAATATTATGAAAGAAATTAAAAAACGTTAGTTAATACATCTAGATTCTTATAACACCGTCAAATAATAAGCAAGTCCTCGCCAAATGTGTTTCATCCGATCATTATGCCTGTAATTATGTCGTTCTAAAATCCAGTTTGACCAAAAAACAGTAGCTAGACTGATATTTTTCTCTGTTTGAAAAATCGAATTTAAATTGACTCTAAAGATAGAGGCACATGTGATAATTTCAGTATTATTTTATTTATTACCGATTGGGTGGCAATGCTAGGGAAGATGGCAGGTCCTTCAAAGCGGGCGGCGGTAGTGGGGAAGTTGACGGCATTTTCAAAGCGGGTGGCAATATACTGGGCAGGATGACGACCTTTCTACAGGGGGTGGCAGTGATAGGGAATGAAGCCCTTTGGAAAGCGGGTGGCAGTGCATGGTGGGGAAGACGACGGTCCTGCCAAAGCGAGTGGCAATGCTGGGGATCGGGTGGTAATGCTTGGGGGGGGGGGTGGAATGCCATCAACAGAGGGCATTTTTAAAGGGTGTAGCAGTACTGGGGAAGATAACTGTTCTTTCGATGCGGGTGAACTGCTTTGTATCGCACCGACAGCTCGCGAACCCCGGACATTGCCAGTCGTTTACCGCCTTACTTGTATTCTTTCTTATATTTTTAGTGCTTCTAAATTGACTTGACCGCAATTTTATTTGCAACATTTTCGTGTTCCGTGCTTGTTTCTGTGTCTCCTTTAATTGTACCGATTGGCCACTTTTGAGCCAGCAGTGATGCAGCGCAGGCTTTGTGTTGTACAGTTACTTATGTTTCTAGTTGTTTTTAACTATCTCTCTATGTAGTTTAATAAAAAATATTCATCGTACATTATCACTTCGTAGCATGCACGCATGCATCATTTAAGGCTGGACCGACTGATGGTCTACCAACCATAAGCCTGGTATAGGAATAATCAAACCATTGCTCAGGGTTGATCGAAAGCGCATAGAATGGAATGTAATGCCTGCAGGGTGTGAGAGCGTCACAAATTCTCATTAAGATGGATTTGGACTAATTATTTCCTTGGTCATATTTGAACGCAATGATTTTAAATTTTCTCAAGTGTATTGGGATCTGTTATGCATTTCTATTAATTGACAGGAACCCCAACTAAGAATTCGTCCAGAAGAATTCAAGTACAGTAGATAAGTACTAATACACTCTTTTCTGCAAAAATTGAAGCGCAAGCATAAAAACAACATTTAAGAGGTTGTTCTGAGATACCGAATATGGTTTTCCTTATTTATTTTAAACTTTTATCGGATTTTGATTCGTGTCGTAAGAAATGGCTGCCGAAGAAGCTTTCACATTGGAACTAACATCCCAGTTATTTGACTTGACAACTTATTTGTTACCAGTTCGTCGTCTAGCTTCTAAGACCGAGGCAGCTCTCGGTTGCTTTAAGTCTTCAACTTGCACATAATTTCTCAGATAAGTGTGTACTCTGAATGCTCCAAAAGAGGAAATTGTGTGAACAAGTTTTAAAAGCTGCGGCTCGATGTCTTGTACCATCCATAATGGAGTCAATCTTCCGTTCAGATCTAGATTATGATATGCATCGCTTGAAAACATCATGCTTATATACGACGGCTGCGATGCATGGGACGGCCGTGACCCATGGAGTGGCTACTGCTGAAGCCGTGGCGAACGGCTGCAACGACATGGTCTTCATTCAAAGAATATATTGTGTTCATGAAGTGTCTCTGTTTTTGTGGGCTTTGGGCACTCATTAAACGAAGTGATAATCATTCTTCTTTCACTGTTTCTCCACACCGAAATGAGGCCAGTTAAATCGATGTCCATGATTCATTTCGTTAAAAATCTAGAAAAATTAAATTGAATCAGTGTGCCCGATGGGTAGATGACCATTTCAAATGCTTAACACTTTTACTCTGAAAAATTGAAATTTCGTGGAATTAACGCTCTAAATTTCTGCGCACAATTAATGAAATTATTATGAATGCTGAACATGAGCTCTAATATGGTTAGGGCTTGAACAAGAACGGGATGACGTTGAGGCTCATTTGGCTCTTGCAATGCATGCAGTGAGCAGTCGGCTGTTGGCTCATCGCTGGCAGTGAAAAACAGGCTGGTTCATGGCTCAGAACACATTTCTTTGTAGAGATGTGACGTTTTTACATGTTGAAAAATTTTTACCTGTTAATTAAAGATTTAAAAAAACAAATTTAAAGAAAATTAATTTAAATTGTTAATTTAAATTTTTAAATTTAAATTTAATTTAAATTTTTAGCTTGATTTATTTGTGTTAATTTAAAGAAACAAATTTCAAGATAATTAGACTAGTTTATGTGTTATATTTAAAATCATCTTTGCTAATTCACAACAATACGTACAATAACACTGCTGCCTCTATGCACCTTATTTCACTCTTAACATCACTCATGGCACGCATAACGTCATTCAAAATTTACTCGTACCATCGCCTTGTGAACCATTTACCGCTGAGTAGTGATGGCTTGGGCTCACTATTGTGTTGGAAAAATGCCAAAGAATTGTGTTCAATAAAGCAAAATAACTCGAGACATCTCTTACGAACGCCCGAAAGCAGTTTAGCACCGCAGCGTCAGCCTACGAATGGCGCGAGGCCTCCTACAGAGCGCGCCGGGGCACCATGGCGAGAACATGTCACGGGAGCTCTACTCTGCACTCATGATAGTATCTTGAATACATAGCACTTAGATAGTATCTTGGATACATAGCACTTAGATAGTATCTTAAATACACTGCCGGCACGTCCGAGTTCGGCATGAGACGACACGGAAAAAGATCCTTCCGGTGCCGCCTTGCTTTGGACCGGAAGAGAATACGAGTTCTCCGGCTCTAGAGCTCGGAATAGCGTGGAATCTGTTTTGATGCTGAATCATCATGTTTAGTGCAGACTGCAGATCTAGATTTCTATAGTGTCCATGAATTTCTCAACATCGCTATGTTATGTTTTCTTATAAACGAAGATCATGTTTAGTGTACATCTTGATTTCTATAGTGACCATGAATGTTTTATTATCGCCATGTTATGTTTTCTTATAAACGAAGATGTTTAGTGCACTTCTTGATTTCTATAGTGACCATGATTGTCTTATCATCGTCATGTGTTAAATGATGATCATGATCATGGAACTTTGATTAGAATTCGAATGTTCATAGCAAGATTCGTGCAATTGGCTGGACGAGACAAGGAAAATACGTGATTGCATGGTTCCGTTGCGCGCTTTTAGGACTGAAGAGTCATCGACGGGCGGCCAGCACAACGGTTTGAAGAGTCTATTATACTAATGTAGTTTGCACGGTTTGAAGAGTCTACTCATGCAGTTTCAAGACTGGATTGTAAGTAAAATGCTAATCAATTTAATTTTTTATTGTGTTCTGGTACAATTAATGTTCCATACTATTTATTCCAGAACCGTAAGAACGGTATTCTGGTTCTGACAAATGTTTGAGAAGCAACGTCTGAATTATGTGATACTGATAGTGGACTCAAACTAACGCAAGTTCTTCGTAACGTATATTTACAATACTTTTATTTATTATTATAACAGCTGTATAGCACACGTAGGAAAGCTGACTATAGTAATGCTTTTTCATGCATTTTTAACGATAAAGGCTGGAATGAATATACGGCATTCAAAATTTTTACGGTCATAGTTTATTAAAAACCGGTAGGCGACAGATTTTCTCGAATTTTATTGTAAGTTCAACTAGACATGAGAAAAGATGTTTCCTCATTTCATTACGACTCCAATTCACCGGCAGTCCATGACTCTGTAATTCTCATCGTCCAATATATCGACCCAGCGTGTTTTTATTTACACGAGAAGCCCTCATATTTTCCTTGCTTTCATCGCGCACTTCACGCTTGAAGCCGACGACCTGTCATGCGCATGTGCAAGGCGCGTCAGACCCGCGTATACGGGCCGCAGGTGCGCGCGGTAGCTCGAGTTCGACGATCGAGCGCAGGCGTAAGAGCGACTAATGAAGATAAGCTTGCATGCCCTCAGCTGGCGAGGGCTGCGCAGGGAAGGGGAAAGCGATGTGCACAGTCATAAGTCTGCTGGTGCACCTCAGTCTACGAGGACTGCGCAGTGAAGGGGAAAGCGATGTGCACAGTCATAAGTCTGCGGGTGAACCTCAGCTGGCGAGGACTGCGCAGTGAAGGAAAAGGTGATGTGCACAGTCTAGCTGGCGAGGGCTGCGCAGTGAAGGGAAAGGCGATGTGCACAGTCATAAGTCTGCGGGTGCACCACAGTCTTCGATGACCGAGCAGTGAAGGGGAAAGAAAGCGATGTGCACAGTCATAAGTCTGCGGGAAAGCCTCAGTCTACGAGGACTGCGCAGTGAAGGAAAAGGTGATGTGCACAGTCATAAGTCTGCGGGAGCACCTCAGCCTTTGAGGACTGAGCAGTGAAATGGAAAAAAGCGATGTGCACAGTCTTAAGTCTACGGGAGCGTCTCAGCTGGCTAGGTCCATACACTACCCCTACAATCTCGTTGACAATATCACGGGGAGTCGCAGCTGATTGGAGGTGATGTGTTTGCACTGGGATAGCGTTAAAGAAAGTTACTGAGCATTAGGTGCTAAGCCCACGAGGATTACAGTGAAGCAAGCACTTGCTACACGGAGATTTGTCGTACCAGCTTTATTGACTTAGGAGTTTGTCAACAAAGAAGATGTATTCGATTCTTATCTTAACGGCATTTCACTGCTAATAATGTAGATACTTTTGTTCAGTTTGTGTAGAAAAAATGCAATAATACTCTCTGCCACATGAGAAAAAGCAGAAATAATCACAAACAATAAGTTCATGCTGCTCATCAGACAGGCCATGAACTGAAATGGTAATGTGAAAAAGTGATCTTCGCTCCTGATGGATTTTTCGAAAATAAAGCAGATCGATACACAAACTAAATGAATTGCAGTCTACTGTACATTGGGAGGTGTATTGCTTAGCTCTTTTACGTCAATTTTTCGAGGATATTGTCCTCTTATTTGAATGAACATCCGACATTAAAGGCTCATTGATTCCAAAAAATAGGTACGTTCCGTACATATTTGAATTATTTTAGTTCTGTTCCGAGATCATTTCTAATGACAAAGGATGCTTCAAATCCAACTAGTGCGACACCAACCGAGTCTTGTACTGTATTTTGCATCTCGTATATATGCAATCCGTGTCAGATACTCATTACAGATATTCACGAAATTTATTATGCATAAACTCATCACATTGTTTGCCAGCAGCGCTTTTTCTACGAACTACACCTCACGCATCCAATTCGTGTTATTGTATCATGATGATACAGAATCAAGTATATTCTACGCACATGCCTTTACATCCGACGCTCTGTCACGTTATTAGCATTACAATAACCCCACATTATGATTTGTTGTGTCACGTTATAGAAACCACCCAAATATTTGCAACGCACTTCACTCATGCCTGAAATTAGGGTTACGCATCATGCGAGCGCCCGGCGCCATGCGTCTACTTCATACCCTAACAAAATTTAGAGTCGCCCCAGCTTCTGGTACTCCAAATCAGAAGCTGCCGCGTCTGTAAATTTTCACTGGGAAGAACTCCTACCCTAACAAAATTTAGAGTCGCCCCAGCTTCTGGTACTCCAAATCAGAAGCTGCCGCGTCTGTAAATTTTCATTGGGTACGCGCGCTTTGTTTCAAGCCGCACTCGGCCAACCCTCAGCAGCGGCTCACACGCGCGTGTTACGAGCCTCGCACGCGGCCGTACATCTCAAGCACTCTTCAAGCTCGATGATCGTGTGAGATAATCCGCTCAGGCTTCTTCAAAACTAAAGAAAATTTATGAAATCTTTCTTTATGCGGTATTCATGAATGTCCTGTGTACGGTAAATAAGCTCATAAGAGTTTATGAATTTAATTATATCGCTATTAACATGTGAGTTAATCAGCTGGAACTTCCAGATAACTCAGTACGATGATTTAGGAGCTGTGGTCGCCGTATTGCCTATTCTAGTGTGAGAAAATCAGAAATCTGTACTTTATCGAGAAATCTTTAATACATCCAGCTTTATTCTCAAGAAATTGTTCCTTCTGTTACATTAAAGTAGATTATGTTTTCAGGAGCGAACCTTTCTTCGCTGTAATTAGAGGAAATAAAATATAAAGGCTGTCGTCTTCTCACGTAACCTGCCATGGGTAGGGACTAGGGAGCACATGTAATTAGCTCATGCATGGCGAGCTTGTGATGTGATATAATTATTCATTGCTCCCACAATGCTATATGCTAATTATATATAATATGCTCTCGTTTCATGTATATTCTACGCACATGCCTTTTCATCCGACGCTCTGTCACGTTATTAGCATTACAATAACCCCACATTATGATTTGTTGTGTCACATTAAGGCGATTAATTCTCCATCACTAGTACTCAGTTTGCGCCTAGAACCTAATAGTTAAATTACAAACAATGTCAGAATTACAAAGAAGTTTGACCGCGTCGCAGAGTAAAGTGTGTCGGAACTATTTAATCCTGCCTTATTTTAGTGCGATTAGAACTCACCTAATCCAGGAGGTAGGGGCGTTAAGGGCTGCATGTCGTCGGAAGGACATTTTCGTTTTCGCGGCCTCCCTTTCTGCACGGCTCCGACGCCGTTGTAAAATAGACGGGACCCCACGGGGGAGAGAGGGGGATAACCCCCCAGACCGGGGGGCAGGCCAGCCACCCCCATCGGGGGCCCCCCGATCCCGATCGTCATTCCTGTCACCACAGAAATGAAATTGATGCATAATCTCAAGCATACCTTGATTATGTAATTTTTAAACATTTATCCATCATTCTGTAATAAATGATACATGAATATAAATTTAAGTCAAACTAAATGAAGTTATTAAATAGATAATTCTTCACTAACTGTTGCTGTTTTTAGGTAAACGAATTATATTTTCGTTGCTTGTCTTTTTCGTGAAATAAGTCTGAGCTCTACCATTGCTCCAACTATGGAAGGTCTTTTATAGGCTTTCTTCAGCTCACAAAATCATTCAAATTTCCCTTACAAACGGAGTGAATAAATTATTGTACCTGGCCGGTTGAATTTTACTGAAATAGCAAAATTTTTTATGTTGAAATTTGAAGTTTTAAACCTAGCAAGTTTTGTCGATTCGTTTGTAATGATAAATTACAGCAGGCCAATAACACCTACAGCTAGCGATGACTCAATCATAGTTTGACTTTTCGAGATTACAAATTCGATTAACTAAACGAAGCGTGACATCATCAACCAACGAAATGGGAAGCTCTGTCCTTCAATCTGTCTGTAATAAATTTTTCATCAATTGAAATAAATAAATTAATACAAGCGCGATTAATTATTAAATAAGCGAGCTAGACCATCCCCAATTATTATTATTTACAATAACCACAGTCCACGAAAAAGAAACGATTTAAACTGTCTACATAATTAAAAGGTAGATTGAAAGTAGTTAATTATTCATTAGGAGGTTATAAATGGCAGGGATACTCACTCCACTCACCTGGGATGCCATCCAACTCAGCGTCGGTGGTCTGTAAGATGATCTCATAGTGAGGCCTGCAGTAGATCACACCGTCCCGCATGCCGAAGTGATCTCCTATTTAATAAATTAACAAATTGAGTAAATATATTGAAGAAAAATGTTAAATAAGCTTCCTATGTTTAATTTTATGTAATTGAGTTAATAATAAAATCAGTGTGCGACTTTCCAAAGAAATTTTGCAAGAAAACATTTAAAAAATAGTACTGGAAAATTTCTATTGACTATTCTCAAGGTGTCATGAAAATAGCTCTGGCGCAGCGTAGATTTTAATAGATTTTCTATTAAGCTAATAATTCATTCAGCCAATACATGTATGCAAGTACTGAAAAATATTTGTTTGCAAATACGGCTAACTTTACTCCTATACGCTGACTGACATGCACTCTGTCATAAGTCGCAAGACCAACTCTTTTCAGGCCGACAGACACAATCTGGAACGCGGTCAGGCACATTAATTGATTCCCATTTCCAGGGACCAGACATACTTTCTAATTTCTATACGCCTGTGAACACACTATTCGGCGTCAGATATATTCATATATTCTGCCAGATACATATTTCTTTACGTCCCTTGATTTACTCAATATTATGCCACAAGACCACTTCGCTACAAGGCACCTGTTATAGGTACGCTTCCAGACGCTATATACGCTCTTTCGATGCGCTGCCTGACACTCGCATATACGCTATCAGGTACACTTCTATATGTCTCCAAACACTTCTAATCAATCTCACACACTACTAAACACCACCAGACACATCCCTAAACACGACTGCGATGCACCACACGCGCCTTTATGCAGCTGTGTGTGGCAGAAGGCGCAGATGAAGCAGTTGAGGTGGTAGACGTGTTCCCGGGCCCGCATCACCAGCTCCTGAGGACCGATGTCCAGTCCGCACCTGCCGCACCGGCCACACCCGAACATTCTGTCCAGGGCAGGCAGAGGAGACACTGTCAGTCGTAGCACGTGTCTTGGTTCTTATATCATAAGTCTGATATATCATTAGTTCACTATATTATTATAGTGAACTATAATGATGCAAACATTAACATTAGTGTGAAAAATAAGTTAGACAAAATTTCTTTAGAATGAATACATATTTCTATTTACTGTTATTGGACTAAGTCAGTGTCAGCTTTAGAAAAGTTAGCTTTACTTTTGACAATGATATTCAAGTTGGACGTGAAGTTGCCGAAGTATGCTTGTTTATTATGCGGTTTAATTTTAAAACCAAATGAGTTTTTTACGAACGAATGGAAAAAAGGCGCTTTGTTGGATTCTTGTCGTTCTCGACGTTTCGAGGCACTTGTTGTACCTCGTTATTCCGATCTCTTCGTCCCCGAATATTTGCTCTACCGCGTCATCCCGTCCCCGAATATTTGCTCTGCCGCGTCATCCCGTCCCCGAATATTTGCTCTACCGCATCATCCCGTCCCCGAATATTTGTTCTACCGCGTCATCCCGTCCCCGAATATTTGCTCTGCCGCGTCATCCCGTTCCTGAATATTTGCTCTACCGCGTCATTCCGTTCCCGAACATTTGCTCTACCGCGTCATCCCGTCCCTGAATATTTGTTCTACCGCGTCATCCCGTTTTGGGCGCCGGGAAATATCTGACATCACAGAAACCAAGAGCGCCTCCATACGGGTCACCAAGACTCTTATTTTTTTATTTTTTCCCAGCCGCCCTCATCACTTGACGATTATTGTATTCGAAGAGAAATACTGCATATCTTATAGTACATATTTTTGGTCTGAATACAGTCATATTTCCCAAGAATTATGCTTCGAAGAATTATGTCTCATCAGAATTGATCATCGCTTATTTCACAATCATCAGGATTGCGTCTCATACGTTACACAAGTCGAAGAGTAATAAAAATTTACTCGAAAATTATGAACTAATTCAAAACACTTCTCTTAATGCATCTAAATTCTCATAATACCTTCAAATTATAAGAAAATCCTCTCCAAGTGTGTTTTAACCTACATATACCTGTAATTATATCGTTCCAAATCCAGTCTGACCAAATAACAGTAGCATAGACTGATATTTTTCTCTGATTGAAAAATCGAATCTAAATTAACTCTAATTAGATAAGAGGCGCATGTGATAATTTCAGTATTATTTTATTTATTACCGATTATCGTTACGTCCAATACAATTCATGGAGGCTATTGAGGCAAAGTAAAGATACTATCACAACGACAGCTCAAACAGGTCCCACTTACAGCACTCGACAGGAAAAAGGAAGTTCAGCAGCGATAACATCAGATAGGAAAAAACACCGTAATCTTCTTCCTCGTTAATATTCAAAGCTTCTCATGCTCAGAGTTTGACGCTATAGCCGCAAACGGTTAGGTTGGCACTTGGAAGCGGCACAATACCTGCCGGTCTTCCGGTGCAGTAGCAGGTCTTATCAGGTCGACTGATATGAAGACTGCCGGCCGCTGTTACTCAGCGCTCTTTGGAAAGCTTATGCATGCGCGTGAGGTGAAGGCGTCAAGGATGTCAGGGCTGGGGATGGAAACCCTTTCACAGCGGGTGGCGGTGGTGGGGAGATGGTGGCAATGCTGGGGAATATGACGGCACTTTCAAAGCGGGTGGCAATGCTAGGGAAGATGGCAGCCCCTTCAAAACGGGTGGCAATGCTGGGCAGAATGACGACCCTCTCAAAGGAGGGTGGCAGTGATAGGGGATGAAGCCCTTTGGAAAGCGGGTAGCGGGTGGCAGTGGTGGGGAGATGATGGTCCTGTTAATGCGGGTGGCAATGCTGGGGAAGATAGCAGCCCCCTCAAAACGGGTGGCAATGCTTGGCAGAATGACGACCCTTTTAGAGGAGAGTGGCAGTGATAGGGGAGTGAAGCCCTTTGGAAAGCGGGTGGCAGTGCATGGTGGGGAAGACGACGGTCCTGCCAAAGCGAGTGGCAATGCTGGGGAATATGACGGCACTTTCAAAGAGGGTGGCAATGCTAGGGAAGATGGCAGGTCCTTCAAAGCGGGCGGCGGTAGTGGGGAAGTTGACGGCATTTTCAAAGCGGGTGGCAATATACTGGGCAGGATGACGACCTTTCTACAGGGGGTGGCAGTGATAGGGAATGAAGCCCTTTGGAAAGCGGGTGGCAGTGGTGGGGAAGACGACAGTCCTGCCAAAGCGAGTGGCAATGCTGGGGATCGGGTGGTAATGCTTGGGGGGGGGGGGGGAATGCCATCAACAGAGGGCATTTTTAAAGGGNTAACTCGAGACATCTCTTACGAACGCCCGAAAGCAGTTTAGCACCGCAGCGTCAGCCTACGAATGGCGCGAGGCCTCCTACAGAGCGCGCCGGGGCACCATGGCGAGAACATGTCACGGGAGCTCTACTCTGCACTCATGATAGTATCTTGAATACATAGCACTCATGATAGTATATTGACTACATAGCACTTAGATAGTATCTTAAATACACTGCCGGCACGTCCGAGTTCGGCATGAGACGACACGGAAAAAGATCCTTCCGGTGCCGCCTTGCTTTGGACCGGAAGAGAATACGAGTTCTCCGGCTCTAGAGCTCGGAATAGCGTGGAATCTGTTTTGATGCAGAAACTGGCTAGGAGGAAAAAGAAATTCGGAGGCCAATGGAAAACTTTTTTTGAGAGAATTTCATGCTATATAATATAAATTCATTAATATAATATAGTTTAAAAAGATAATATAATATTTAAAATATATTATATAATATAAATAATACAGTATAGACAAAAAAAGTGAGTGACACTCTTATATATTGAATGCTCAAAAAATAATCATAAAACATACAGTAAAAGTAACTTAGGAAGGAAATTAAAAACCGATAACTAAAAAAATTGTAAGTGGCAAGGTTATTGGGCTGCGTCGTGAACTATTATTCACTAAAAACATTTGATTTATTCGTCTGCTTATGTTTTCAGACGTCTTATTTAACAAATTGTAGAATTATAATTTAGTATAGAACAATGTAGACAATATAACAGTGATTTTTCTTAAATATAGAGCTAAATTACGAATAAAAAGGAAAAGTTTCATAAACAAAAAGTCAGAAAGGACAAAAAATCGCTAAAAGTTACATCGCCCACATCGAGTTCTAATCAAAATCCGTTGATTTTATGGGTATTTAAGGAGAGTCAGATGAAGTCAAAGGCCAGGCTGACTCCACATCGCAGTCATTATAGCTTTTAAACACACAAAAGCTGAGCTCGGCCTGAAATATTTCGCCCCAAATGTGCTCGTGTACACAACATTAGCTGCCAAAAAACTTCTGCCCGCCGACCGAGCGTCGGAAAAAGATTCGCTCGACGCAGCGGGAGCTGTGCGCTCTACAACCATGGACTCAGAGTCTGGTTACTCAACGTCTATGACTGTCGTAAGTCTTATGGTTATGAACATCATGTTTAGTGCAGACTGCAGATTTAGATTTCTATAGTGACCATGAATGTTTTATTATCGCCTTGTTATGTTTTCTTATAAACGAAGATGTTTAGTGCACTTCTTGATTTCTATAGTGACCATGAGTGTCTTATCATCGTCATATGTTAAATGATGATCATGATCATAGAACTTTGATTAGAATTCGAATGTTGATAGCAGGATTCGTGCATTGGCCGGACGAGACAAGGAAAATACGTGATTACATGGTTCCGTTGCGCGCTTTTAGGACTGAAGAGTCATCGACGGGCGGCCAGCACAACGGTTTGAAGAGTCTATTATACTAATGTAGTTTGCACGTCCAGATACGTATTTGTTTACGCCTCTTTTTTACTCAATATTATGCCACAAGACCACTTCGCTACAAGGCACCTGTTATACGTTTCCAGACGCTATACGCTCTTTCGATGCGCTGCCAAACACGCACTTATACGCTATCAGGTATACTTCTATATGCCTCCAAACACTTCTAATCAATCACACAGACTACTAAACACCACCACACACATCACTAAACACGCCTTCAATACCCCACACGCGCCTTTATGCAGCTGTGTATGGCAGAAGGCGCAGATGAAGCAGTTGAGGTGGTAGACGTGTTCCCGGGCCCGCATCACCAGCTCCTGAGGACCGATGTCCAGTCCGCACCTGCCGCACCGGCCACACCCGAACATTCTGTCCAGGGCAGGCAGAGGAGACACTGTCAGTCGTAGCACGTGTCTTGGTTCTTATATCATAAGTCTGATATATCATTAGTTCACTATATTATTATAGTGAACTATAATGATGCAAACATTAACATTAGTGTGAAAAATAAGTTAGACAAAATTTCTTTAGAATGAATACATATTTCTATTTACTGTTATTGGACTAAGTCAGTGTCAGCTTTAGAAAAGTTAGCTTTACTTTTGACAATGATATTCAAGTTGGACGTGAAGTTGCCGAAGTATGCTTGTTTATTATGCGGTTTAATTTTAAAACCAAATGAGTTTTTTACGAACGAATGGAAAAAAGGCGNGAGGGCTGAGGGAGTGAGGCAGAAATTGTGAAGAAAGTAGAGTAAAAGTTCTAAGGCTGGATAAGAAGATAATCATTTTTTTAATGGGGAGGTTGATAGTAGAATATAAGAATGTGTTATAGCGATGATAATGAATGGCAAAAATAAATAGAACTTTATTGTGAGTTTGAAAAGGTATTTACTTGGAGCGTAGGTGAATAATTAAACGCAATATCAGAGACAGAAAAGAGAAACTATTAACTAAGTGATTAAAGAGTCCCTGATAGGAAGGCAGGAGGAGAGAAGAGAAGGAAGAGAGAAGAAAGAGAGAAGGAGGAGAGAAGGAGGAGAGAAGGAGGAGAGAAGGAGGAGAGAAGGAGGAGAGAAGGAAGAGACCAAGCAGGCGAGAGTCAATTAGAGAAGAGTCTGCGCTTCTAACTGAGGGAGAGAAAAAGAGGGCGAACAGAAAGAGAGGGAAGCGGAGAGCTCTGAGCTGTGGGGCGATCTCGACAATCTTGTGAGAGGCCAGAAGGAATCGTTCACATTAAATTGATAATATAAACAATCGTTCACATTAAATATATAATATAAACAATCGTTCACATTAAATATATAATATAAACAATCGTTTACATTAAATAGTCACGATAGTCAAGCGGGTACCATACGTACGCGAAACTTTTTAAAGCGTCAGTTCACTCATTATCCAAATGATCTTAAGTAATACAAAAAGAAAAGTAACTATGAATAACTATCATGAAAAATTATTAGGATTCCGTCAACTCGCATGAAAAATTCGTAAAAATTGACGAACATAGAAAATTACATTAATTTGAGTGTTCAAAGTTTTTGACAAACTAGAAATTAATTTTGAAAAAAACAAGAAATCTAAATTCAAAAATTATTATTTATTAAACCAAATGCTGGTAATTTATTCGCATATAATTCCTCAGAAACGAAATAATAAACTTTATAGCTTAAACGATTCATTCATTGCTGATGAATGAACCGTTTACGCTATAAAGTCTATTATTTTGTTTTTGAGGAATAATATGCGAATAAATTATCTGTATTTGGTTCAATATTATTAAACCAAAGAGATTATTATTTAATAAATAATAATCTCTAACCCTAAAGAATTAACAAAAAAGCTTTTCATATTCAATTGCCTGGAATCATTACGTACGTAACGTGTTTGTTTAGCTGGAGCTCACATGTAACTGCGAGTTTTTTATTATAACATATTTGATCCATTTACTTTTAAGCTTCGAGCATTGTTCTAATGACGTTCAAGGCAGCGTGCGAGGGAAGAGACCGAGGGGAGCGTTCCGAGGGAAGATTTAAAGGCAAGTGAGGGCACATCCGAGGGGAAGACAGGCAGGAAACTGGCTTGTTAAAGCCATGCAACATCGTTTGGCAATCTTAAAACATCTGAGTAATTTATACCAGTAATTTATACCATGTTGAATATATTTTATTTTTAAACCATTTATATTTTATACCATATTTATTTATATTTTATATCTTATTTATATATATACCATGTTGAATAACTAATTCTTCCTAATAATAATCTCCTAATAATAATCACTGTGAGCATAGAACTCATTTTAACAACCTGATTTTGTATATTACATTATTTAATATATAGACGGATCATGATGAATTTTATCCAATAGTTTAAACGCTTACTCTCTTTTTGTTTTAATATATAATTCAAGTAAATTTTTCTACGGAAGGAATTGAATACGAAGCTCTCATCTATTTTGGTGATCCTGGGATTTATGACAGAAAATGCGTATTTTCTGAGCTATTTTCATAGAGCACAATTAAAGAAGGGCGTTTGAGAGTCACTCTTATACTCGGTATCAGCAGAGAATTTGTTAAAAATTTGTATTAGAAAATATAGACTGAGAACTTCGAAACACTCGCTTACAAAACCTCAACAAAAGTTTACTGAAAGCATAAAATGAGTGTTTTATTTTTCATATAATTTTAATTATGCTATTTTAGATTTTGGAGCATGTTTAATGTGCAACGGATAAATAAAGTTGCATTTGCTTTACACTTGATCAGGACAAGCACTATGCTCTTATATACTTTCCATGACACAAGTAGGTTTTCTGAAGCTATAAAGGCAAGCTTTATTCTAACACGACTGTGTAGATACATGCGCTGTATGAATGCACTCGAATTATGAATACGCTTGTTGTATGAATACACGCGCTGTATAAATACTCGTGCTTCCTGGTGCATTCGCTGTATGGTTAATCTCGCAATATTCGCAATATGAATAACTGACTTATAATATCTACGATGAATTTATTAACTCTTAATGATTTAGGGAATAATTTTCATGAAAGCTCTCGAAAGATGATAGTTCCTAACCTGGGTTATCGATTAGCGCCGTGACTGATAATATCGAAATTGCCGCATGCTAAGTGATTGCGTCGTACTTGCGGTGTCTGTTCCTCATGAAATTTACGTACAAAAGGCTAAGTGACTGCGGATTGGTACGTGCTCTAATTTAAAGAATAATAACAGCACGAGTCCTTATTCAAAATTAATTTTGCATAGTTTTGTTTAATTTCAGCTATTGTTTCATCTTAGAGCTGTTATGTCCTCAAATGTTCCTAGACATTTTTCCCGTGTAGTAAACCTAACCTAGACACTGTATATACACCGCCATAGCTTGTCACTTAGTTTCTCAGGCTGAGTTATATGTTTAGGATGAGGGAGATGACGAGAATGAACAAGTGATGAGAAAGAAATCGAAGAAGGCTGCAGGATTTATAAAAGAAATTCATTACCCACTTATAAACTATTTATTGACTCCATCGACCAATAAGTAACGTGCTCCCGAAATTCTTCGTACCAGATATCACGATCTTCATAAAATTTTGGCAACAATTATGTCGAAGCGAGACGTTAAAGAAATGAAGGAGAATGATGGATAAGGAACGAAGAGGTAGAGACGAGTAGGAAGAAAGCAATGGATACGAAGGAAGGTTAATTGTATGAAAAAGTGTATTTTTTATGGAAAAGTAAAATGAATGTATAATGTAAAAAGAACGGTGAGATAGATAGAATGCATAGGATACAATTATTTACAATATGAGACCTAATAAATGAATGAAAAAGACAGGGAGAAGGCAATGAGGGAAGAAGGACGAGAAAAATCAAACCAAGAAGCGACGAAGAGAATTAAATAAGTAGAAACCAAGGAGGAAGCAAGAAAAATGGGAAGGGGCGAGAGAAGTAGGAAGAACAAAGACAAGGATGAGGAAAAATCAAACCAAGAAACGAAACAAGTAATCAAATAAGTAGAAACCAATGAGGAAGATTTAAAAATGGGAAGGGGCAAGAGAGGTAGGAAGAATAAAGGCACACATAACGTCACACGAGTTAGTTAGCGTTAGCAGAAGTGGTTCGGTCGCAGCAGCCATAGGTGGACCAGCTCGCTATGATGGATGGTGTCGGAACAAATGACGCGACTCTTCACAAAAACTCCCTGACAGCTCCAAGTAACGAACTTGCGTGCGTGCATTATACTAACAAGTGTCGGTGCGTGAGCTTGGCTACGGGGTATGTGTGATCGGGAAGAATATGAAGTGCCTTGACGTGACTATGATATTCCGCGTACACAGAAATATGGTCACCTAACAAAGGAAGGAATTGTGTCGAATAAGGTTGAAGTTTTAATAACGTAACTCTAATGGAGCTCTAATATCGAATAATTTTTGGGGTTAACTTCAGCGATGTTTAGAGTAATTCAGCAAGAAAATATAAAAAAAAAAATCGCACCAACTCCGTGCAAAATTTAGGAAGTCTGTAATTCATGGTAAAATGGTAAATTTCCCACGAATGCAGGACCCTCGCTCCAGAGAATCGACAAAATATTTAGCACGACCCAAACTTCAGATTTGCGTGAACTAAAATTCGGCTTTGAGTTAATAACCGCAAGAAGTGAGGCGCAAATAGTGCGCCAAGTGTAGAGCACTCCAGAGAGAAGCGCTGGAGAGAGCGTTTGTTTACAATAGAAGCAATTGTTTAGTTTCCCCCGTGGGCGGTGAGAACAACTCGTGAAGAGCCTCCTTGTGTTCAGTAAACAATCGGACTCGTAGCTCTTGTTTCCGCGTAAACTACAAATTGCGGACAAAGAGTTGAGTAGATATGCACGCCTCCTTCGTGTATTTCATTTGGAAGCTAAAACACAGAATGAAAAAGACTTGAAGTTAGTCGTGTAAACATTCCCTGCTAAATAAATTAAAAGGAGAGATTATTGACTTGGTTTAGAGTAAGAATATTCAACCATAAATCCATGCAGATTATTATAGTTCACACTACTCGCAATCATCTATTTAGAACGTTTGCTGTCTTTGATAAACAGTTTTCTTTATTTACGTTTTTAATGCAATACTGAATTGACTAAACTACTTTAGTTAGCCTGTTCATCGCCCATCCAAGCTAAACAAAAGCGCCTATTCTTTATTTCATGGGACTGACTGCAATACAAAACCGGGAACAACTTTTGCTCTGATAATTTGACGCCGGCGTGGAGAAGAACAAGGAGAGAGAGACATAAGGAGATTGGGGCACGTGCGACTCTCTTCTAACAAGGTACGTGAGCGGTGAGTGCACGTGTCTGCACGTGAGTAGAACCACGCGCTGCACGGCGGCCACGTGGGCTTGAGGACTTCAATTCAATGCTGGATTCAAAATGAAATACGATGCTGAGATTTTCGTGGAAATTGTTTGTTTGAATGCATAAAATGTGCGTACAATGAAGGTGAATTCCAGTTTAAAGAAATAGAATATGTATATCGATTCAAATTAATGCGTATTAGACAGGCTATTCCAGGATACGTTGATTATCTCACTCATATTGAAGTTTTCTTTTCATTGAATGAGACATCGGGTAATGGATAAATGCTTAATTGTATGACTATAGCGTCTCACATAGACTCACGTGTTTCAGGTTGCTTGACATAATATTAGAAATTGAAACACCTTGTTTAAATTTCGTTGTCTGAACTTTCGTCACATAAATACAGTTTTCCCAATGGAATTTCTTCTCAGGAATGATGGATTTCTTGATGAGCTTCCTTCATTTGAAAAAGCCTCTCATGAAACCGCCTGGCTCGGTCTGTCAGCTACACTCAGGTGCAAATGTACCAAAAAAATTTTTTTTATAAACTGATTTTTTGAAAAATACGGACATCCATTCACCAAATCTCGAGCTCCTCAGCACGCAATCTTAATGTAATCTGGATGAGTGCTTTAATTTAAAATAATCGCCTCTGTGATAATTTGCATGAAAAATAATTGCATCAATAAATATTTTTGTGTAACTTAGATTCCTACTCTGAAGCCCGCGCCGAAAATTCGTCGAGCTTGTAATTAGAACATAAACACCTGATGAGCGAAGACAGCCCAATGAGCACTAAGCTTATATATCAGACATTTGGGACGAGCATACGTGAAATTAGCCAATTCTCCAGACAACTGTTCCAATAGTACT